CCCTGTATGGTTGTATGGTTGAGGGATTTGGTTTAGGGGGTAGACAGGATTGGTTGGACGTGATGATCTCAGAGGGCTTTCCCAACCGAGCCATTCTGTGTGTGATTCTGTGATAAAGCCTCATGAGGCCAATGGGAAAAGAATGTCTTTCAAAATATTATGAAAATATAAATATGCTGAAAATGTAAGCAAGGGGCAGCGCTATTAACCAGCAAAAATAAATCGGGGTGATTAACTAATTACAGAGAACAGTTAAATGGATTCCTGACTTGACAGAAGCTTCACTTGAGGCTGCCCAAAGTGAAAACCCGACACACCTACAATATTCATCTGCAGTGGCTAAATTAGGTATCTCCATGGGGCAAGTCGTGTGCTCTTCTGCACTGAGCCCGTATGAGCTCAGGGAGACAGGACCAGGGAAAAACAAGATACAACATCGTAAGGAATTCCTGGTGCCACCATCTCCTTCAAAACACACCACGAAAAGTGCTGCCTTAGCTACACCGAAACAGCAAAAGAGCCTGCAACAGCTGCAGCTTCCAGAGATTGCAAAACACGGATACCTTTGGAAAGGTCACTTGGATCACCTTTCAAAATAACCCAGCGCACAGGATGCGCAGCAAAGCCCGCTAATTTGTCAGTCAGTATTAAAAGAATCCTTCAGTGTTTTGAAGACCAGTATTTTGAAACAGTCTTAACTCATTTTGTTCCTGTAAGAGGGAATCCACATTTGATGTTAACAAAGTTAGGTCACAAGATACTGAATTTTGCCTCTTTTTCCTCCTCTGTAAAACCCCATTCTGTTTGCACTCACACAGGTGAAATCAGCACCCGCAGCGCGCTGACGGTACACAACCTGATCCCATAAAAACTGCGATCCTGGGACAACGCTGCAGCCAAGCTGAGCTTTTCCTCACGCTCTGCTTACATCACATTTTGCTTCCTCTTCCCAACTTGCCCTGCTGAGTGACCATACACGATCAAACTGTCCCATTTTGTCTGGAGTACAAGGTGCTTTCCAAGCGAAAGAACTCACCAAGACCTCCAAAATGAGACTTAACACAGCAAGAACCGAAGCAATCATCATTTTCTAAAATATCCCCTCCTAGCACACAGAGAAAAGAAACCCTGGAACTAACATTCTTGGAAAAAATTCTTGAACGCAGTCTGAAGGAAGCCTGCACAGAACGACACGTGCCTAGAGAGGGGTGAGGTCAAAAATTTTGCTGTTCCACCCTATCCACCCCCACGGCAGAGCTCCCTCCCAGCCCGCTGACAAGTCCTGCAGTGACTCACTCGTTTCCTTTTGCACTAACCCTGTCGCTCCGTCCGAGGCCGTAACACCCTAAACCCGACAGCAGCAGATAGAGATCTGCCTCAGCAAGAAAACCAAGAAAAAGTTCAGATCAAAGAAGGCTTCATCTAAGTGTGACACATCAGGAAACAGTAAGATTTGTCAAATCCACCGTGCAAGGCTACTCAGCAAGCAGCAAAACTCGATTTTGAGTACTACGCAGAAAAGATTTGAGCTGTCATCTCTAAATTTGGGTGAGGTCAAACCACTGCATCCAACACAGGCACGGATGCACAGAGATCATCGTCCTGGCGAGCTCGGCG